GTACATTGTAGAGACTGGGGCGGTGTTCACGATCGGCCGTAGCAGATTCGCGGACAACATTGCGTCGCATTTCTTTATTCGGAAAGATCCGGTTGTCATCATCGAATGTGGAGATGAACACTCTGCCGTTGTTTGCCGTGAGTATATTACGCCTGTTCCTTTACGGAAAAATTTACAATCGATCGGCCTGAAAAATAGTCAACGGTCCGATTGTACGTCTAATCCGGTATAACTCGGTCTAATCCAGCACGAGGTTTAAACTGAAATGCCATATTGTCTCTTAAATAATTCAAATTCAATTTGAAATGGATCTAAGTTGTGTTCTCGGAAAGAAATGACTCTCTAAAGAAGAAACTGAAGACAATAGGGCTGGTTATACCTTCCATTGAATATCGTTAATCAATGTTGCGAAGTGTAGCGTTGACAGTAAACCATGCATTCGTAATAAACTATGTTGGCAGACAAAATAGTCACTTACTAATAAAGGCAACGATGAGTTATCATGTTTTCTTATTTCTTTCTGAATTCAGAAGCAAGGTTTATCTTGTTCTAGGTCGTATATTTGCATTTTACAACCCGGCTCTCTCGTCGAGCGCATTTAAAATCCCAAATTGTAATAATTTAAAATCTGAAATTTTAACAAATATAATATTATGAAATTCGTGGCCTTTATAATGCGAGACTGATTCTGCGTGATTTACAGCTTCTGTAGCACGCTATGTAAGGAGTATATACAGTTCAGCTATGCTTACATAGGAATATCCACTGTCCAGTAAATCGATATTGAACACGCAGTAGTCGGTGTAGCCGACATTGTTGGTGTTATTAGCCCAGCGCGTTATTGCCTCACGTATAAAAAGAAATGTCACGTCAGAAAAAAATTAATGAGGGACTATAAATAATATTAAGAGTGATGCAATATTGTTTAAAACCTTGCAATTATTCGCTGGCTGTTAATATTTCATTTATCTCATTTGCGATGCAAATTTTATTCCGTTCGTTTCCTTTATTGCTACTCAAGCGACAGAACATATTTATGCATTTCTTCATATAATTTCCCTAATTATTATTTTTTTAGATCTTGGAATTTATTTGTATGGTCAATTACAGCGCTGTCCGTTTAGTACCGCAATTAAAATTATATAACTATATGTGTTTACTACTCGCGAATTTATGTCTCTAGATACTCTTAGATCCAAGATTCCTAGAATACTCTCTATGTTACGTAAATGGAGATAGTATCTTAATGTCAGGGATAGTTTCTGCGAGATTGCAATCTGGCTAAATTTACTTTTTAATGCTGCTTGGACCTTGGTCTTTTTTTCTATTTCAGAAACTGGCAGGCTCTTTGTTTTCGGTAGCAACGATTGGGGTCAGCTGGGCCTGGGTCACAAAAACCATATCAGCAAACCATCGTGTGTAAAAAGTGTGTAGCTACCTCATTGCGAGAGCAAAATATTAACACTAAATGGCATCACGCTAATATATTGTTAAATGCGGTCTCTAAGAATATTGATTTCTTCCGACATTTCGTTCGCGCCGAAAATTTATAGTCGTTAAATGTCGAGGTTAATTTCTTGCAAAAATCTCCCATTTAATTAAGTGCTACTTATAATTTTAATGAGAAACCAATGTGTTTTAGTTCTGAAACCGGAAAAAGTCACACACGTGGCATGCGGGAGAGCGCATACTTTAATATGTACAGGTGAGAATCGAGTAATTGTATAGGAATGTGTCGTAATGTACGGAGAATTCCGAGTGCGCTTTCTCTGAATGACAAGTACACAAATCTAAATCTATGCTAATTTTCTCAATATGAACATTACGAGGACTTAAGTCGCGAGAAATGAAAAGCTTATAATAATTGGTTCTATGTCCACCGAAGCAATAGATCGTGAAAATACAATGTCCTGAACTCCCCTTATAGATATGTACGTATAGCTGTCATTAGGAGATACGAGGTTTTAAACGAGCATGCCGTTTCTATATGTGGCTTTGCGTGTCACGAACTTCGGTGAATATTTGCCGAGTCATTCAACTTCAAACTTGTTCTCGTTTGAAGGGATCAACGGGATAAGAACTCTCTTAAATGGCACGCCACTTCGCTAGCTTTCTAAGTAGGAATTCGAGATGTTAATTTATCAATCGATTAAAGTTGCTTCGGGCAAATAGCTCGGAAAAATATTTCCGCGGCTAATTTTATCTCAATTAACCCCTTTGTGAACGAATGTTAGATCATTTTCTGCGATTTGCGGACGGCTTTTTAGTTAATGAACAAAATTGAACAGTTATATTGGGTATTTTAGGAGCACAGAAAGTGTTCGCGTGCGGCAGCAATCAGGAAGGTCAACTGGGTCGGGAAAATTCCGCGATAGGTGACAGCTCGAGTTCTCCAATCTTGATCTACGATTGCGGGCTCGCTGGTCCCCGGATCGTCCAAGTTGCAGCGGGATCGCACCATTCGATGGTTCTGACGAGTGACGGAGGAGTTGTCGCCTGGGGAAGCAATCTGGAGGGACAGTTGGGATTACCAGGGATCTCGGGTTTGGTTACCAAGCCTACGAAGGTCCCGATTCCTGAACCGGTGAAGGAGATCAGCACGGGATATTATCATTCAGTTTTCTTGACTGGTAATGCGACGCTCGATGATAATACTCACATTTCTGCAATGATATAATAGATTATATAACAAATTGAAGTATGTGTACGCACAAATAAAGAGAAAACATACTTTACTTCTCCTAAAAGACGAAGTGTCTTTTCTCGTATTCACGCTTAGAAGAGTAAAGAGAATAAAGCAAGATGTTGATCGGAGAAAATAAAATTGAGTTCCAAGAAACTGTCCAAGTATTCTGAGACGTCACAGCACACTTTCAACAAGATAAAATCGCTTCCGTTACAGCACGCTTATAGCGGTTCGCACGAACACGAGAGGTTGTAAAATAAATTAGCGGGTATGTAATTCGGCGACATGGATCTTGTTTCCAGAAAGCGGGCTGGTTTATGTCTGCGGCGAGTCGGAAAGTGGTAAACTCGGAATCAACGTCAACTTTTCTACGCAGGTCGCACCTAAGCAGATGCAACTGCCCGCGCCAGCACTTCATGTCGCATGTGGTGGCCATCACACCCTCATACTAGCAGGTCGAGATCGATAGAGCTTGAAATCGATATACTTCCGATACTCTGCCGCGCGTACTTGCGGAGCTCTTAGCGGCTAAAAATTCTGATTCCATATTTATTTTATTCTAAAATGTTACGATAACTTAACCAGGTGTTTATACAAATTGATAGAAATTTATGAAAATTGGTGTAAATTTTTAGAAAATGGCAGTGTTTACTGCTCCGGCAGTAACGCTAGTGGGCAACTTGGCATGGGCATAAATGTTAACGAGATACACACGCCGAAACTTCTTCCACGCGGGGCTCTTCAAGATGAAAAGATCGTCAAGATCTCTTGCGGTGAAAGTCACAGTGCTATACTTACTGGTAATTAAAGTGCTGCTGTGATTATCGCATTTTTCAAGAAGCCTCTCGTCGCTAATTGCGCTATTTATTAACAACAGAGTCCGGCAAACTCTTCACCTGTGGCGACGGCCGACACGGGAAGCTGGGTTTGGAAGAAAACGAAAATAACGTTCACGAAGTGACATTTGCTGCCAAATATCAGGAGCTTTTCGTTTCGAATGTAACTTCACTTGTCGATTTATAACTTACAGGCATCACACTTTTGTCGTGTTCTAATTGTTTGCTTATTTTGTAGGTTGCTTGCGGGGGGTGTCATACGATATTAGTTGGCCGAAGACACGAGATAGATTATCAATCACAACGGCAACCGGACTCCATGGTAAATGCGACTACGTTATGCACAGATTTACGCGCGACAAATAAATTAATAAGTATTTATGAGTTTTTTAAATCGATTTTAGGAGCAAAGAAAAAGTTCTCTACCTCCTTTAAAGCTTCCTATAAATATGCAGAATGAACATCGAGTGGACAATACGGGGAAATCGACTGATGAAAAAGATGACTCGCATCATCCTGATAAAAATAATGAAACGTCTGATAATAATGACGCTCAAGCGAATTCTGCGGACGATTCGTCAAAAGAAAATGTTAATAATGAGGAAATTTCATCTTCGGCGAACGATGAAAAAATTGCAAGTCCATCTCCGAAAAATACTCCAGAAAACTCGCAAGTAAAAGATCTCGATGATGAGGGCCATGATAATGAACATATTGAAAGCAGTGAAAGTAAAGATATTAATGAAAACGATGAGAATCAAGAAAATAATAAAAATACGGAAATGGCTGCTACAGTAACACAAGATGTTGAGGAATCGTGTACAAAAATAGAAATCTCGAGGATAGAGGAAGAAGACAAAGAGGAACCGATGACGAATCCTACACCACCGCCGAAGCCGCCGAGACTAAAGTCTGGAAGTGCGGAAAGTCCGAGCAACGAAAAAGAATCTTTAAAGGAGAACGAAGAGGATGAAAAAGAAAAAGATGACAAAGAAATGGAGACGAACAACGAACAAGCATTAAGTGCAAGGGCAGCTAGAAAATCGGTATCGGCAATTTCGAAAGAAACTATAGAAGCGATCGAGAATTCGATAGAAAAGGTCGATGAAGATGGAGAACGCGTGGAAGAACCAGAGAAAGCGGAAATAGACAGTACGCAGGATGATGCTGATGTCGTGCAGTCTCCGCCTCCGCGAACAGGTAAAACATCTGTAATTTTTTTTCAGAAATTCAACAAAAATTCACTCTGCGAAATAGAATTTATATTCTTGGAAAGCAGCAGAGCGTTTAAATTTACAAATAAAAATTGCGCAATTGATTATTGTCTTCTAGCCAAGATGGCGAAGTTGTTTAAAGGTAAACGACAGCAAGAGGTGCAGAATGGAACTAAGAAGTCAAGCAGCACAGCGAATCCGAAAGCTAAGGTATAGATGAAATTACATAAAACATATTTTATACATAGAGGATATATTAATTAGTATAATTTCTTTTAATTTTATATTGAGATTATTACCGAATAATTATTTTTGCTTTCCAGTCAAAAACATGCACAATTCTGTGATCGGGAAAACTTCGAAGAGACATTACAATTCATTATATTTTTATAAGTATACTAATGATATGCTCGTCGCTGGGACCAAAAAACCTTGTGAAACCGGAAATCTCCAATAATAGATATCAAAACACAAATAAATCTTTGCTAATCGACGCATTTACATGCATAGAGAATTAGCATAGATATTCTGCATCCTGGATACTGCGTCGATTTTTATTATACGGCGACGAAGAACTTGAGTAAAAACGCCAGTTACATTAACAACGTTTTTAGGCATTGTAAATATAAGTCACGCATAAAATTTGGTTCCATATAATCAGAAAGACGCATAAATGCAATAATATAATATACAAAGTAGATGACAGCTGAATGTGAAAAATGTACAGTGATATCTGGATAAACATATTTTATTAAAGTCCAATTACAAAATTCCGTTCGGGTAATAACGAACTTACTTTACAACGTTTTCATCTTCGGAATAGATTACAAGTACTAAAATGTGATACGTAGTCGCATCACATCCTCGATGTATCATTCATATTTGATTAATCGTCAAACCATGTTTAACTTATAACGCACCGACACGTCAATTAACACATTAACCATAGTTATATAAATTTGCATTTTCAATATTCTTGTATAACTAGAGCTGCGCTCTTCCGATCGTATAACCGAAATTAGCTTTACGCAGATACATGTAGCGCTAAAGTTGTCGGTGCAACTGACCTTACTTCTAATCGACGTTGTTTCATCACACGTTGGCGGCGATGGTACACTTAACATACGATTACTATTATTGCACTAGATTTTATGGCCGAGTACGAGTGAGACACGTTGAGAGGAAGCATCGTCTTACGCGCAATCCTGCCGCGATCGCTACGAGTGAAAGTCTCATCTATTCACATAATTGCCAATGAAGCTTCTCCCCTCGTTGCTCTCTATTCAAGTGCATATTGCATATTATATATACATAAATAAGGACGGAATCACAGACACAATAACATATTTAACATGATCTTAGGATCTCTCGCGATACTGAAAATTATCAGGTAATTCTTGATTATAGTGCATCCATAAGCGCCCATCAAATCCCAAAAGTTTTGTCTTTTCTTCCATAATTAATAACGGATAATGCTACTGTATTACACTTCATTATTGCTATAAAATATTATAATGGTTGTATGTTACTTTCACACACTGTGAAAGATCATGAATATATATGTATATTCTTTGGCGAATTTAAATGTCATCAAACAACGAAACTTTCCACGGGTCTCAACTGAATAAATCCGTGTATCAAATGCAGAAGACTTTTTAGATACGAAATACAAGCCAATTGTGGCTGCACGTATTTCGTAATTGGTCAATTAGTCCTCTCGATCATCAATAGCAAAACTTTGGTGTACACAGTCAAACGCAACGCATTTCATATTACACCATGCAATATCAATTAATGACGCCTAGCTTTTAATTTTTAATCTGATTTTTAAAGAAAATAAATCAGTCAGTCATCTCATATTAGATGAAAATTTTGCCGCATGTCCATACGTGAATTCTTGTAATCCCGAAATATTATAAAAATTTTAGATCTAATTTGAATGATATATGTAGCTTCAAACATTTTAAATACATAATACCAAAGTTTCCTAAATCTTAATTACAGTTTAGAAATACAATACGTAGTTTCTGCTTCTATTTGGTGAGATGTAAAACCGAGTACAAATAAATTATTTAAATGAAAGGCTCCTAAGTAAGTTGCATAAAGACAAGTACGAGTTCTTAAGATATACTTTATTAATGATTAAAGTCTTGATAAAAAGTTTTTAATCTAATAAGAACCGAGAACGCTATTTTTTTTGCTTTCCAAGCAAAATGTAGGTAGCCCATTAATTGTAAAAAGTTTTTATAATCTTCTTCACGCAAGTCTTTGATCTTTCGCGCAAGTTTTATATCGCGCTAGATATGTTATAAATTACATCTTAATTAAAATCCAAGTTAATTAATGTAAATTACTTAGGTTCTAAATTGGCTCTTGAGTGCCTTGAGTCATACATATTTTAAGTCCAAAATCCTCAGATGTTGATACCTGAGATCCTTGAATCCTGTGTTATCTTTTGCAATCATAAATTGTTTTTACAATTATGAGATCCCGACCCTCCAGAGTGTGACAAACAACAAACTGGTTTGTGCCTGACCAAATGTTTTCTTAGTATCGTGATTTTATTTACTTGACGAGAAATCGTGGCCAGACGTCATTAATTATTGCTCACTTTATTAGTATTAGCGCGTCAGCGCTACTAATACACTAGAATTCATGCACAGAACAATGTCCATCAAATTTCTATAATGTCCTGCTTCTCGTCGACATCGATGTTGTTTAGCAAGATGTAGGATTCCCGACCGGCCATCAGCCGATGCTGACCATTTATCAGGAAGGACGAACCTCTCCTGATGGTTCTCTTGCCGAGCTCGTACGCCTCGTGCGCCAGCACTGGGCTATTGTACGCCATCACGAACACCGTAATGATAATCATCAATCCGACTAGAATCATGCCATACGTCATGCAGGGCACAGCGATGTCGGCGAACGTGGTCGCCAGGTAAACCCACCGCCTAATGGACGGCGTGAGTTCCTCTATACCTTCCTCGACCCACATAATCGGGAAAACTATATCGGGAAAATTCGCGACCGCCGCGATGTTGGGCTGTCGTTCTACTTTCAGATTCAATTGGACACGTACCTTCCCTTCGAGAGGTACCCCTAGTTTCTGAGAAAGTACAATTTTTTTAAATCTTAGATAATTATCTTGGATCTTAGACGTGATATCTTTTAATATCTATTCATCAGTCCATTTAATAATTTCCTCATTCTTACTCATTCTTTATTTTAATCTTTTACTCATCAATTATTAATACTTTAAGTTTTAACAGAACAATGTTGATTATATTAACAATTGTTTTTTAATATATAATATGTTTTAAAAGAACCTATCTCAAAAAAGTTCAGCATAATTAGAACTACTTGGAGGATGTTTCCTTTATTTTACTTACCGATTGGATCTTGAAATATGTTCCGTGTAGCTTTTCGACCGGTTTAAGTCCCTCAATATCATCTAGTAACTTAGGATCCGCCTGGTAAAAATGTGGGAACGAGAGATACACTGGTGCGCCTAAAATAAAAATGCATCGATTTTAACAGAGTTATTCGAAGAGTGCCTCAGAATTCTATTAATCCTGGAAAAACATGGAGCACTTACTGTATTGGCATGGGCTAATATTCTGCAAGCCTTGCGGAGGGCAACTTCCATCCGGGCAGAAGCATTCGTCTTCTGTAGAACCTGTTTCGTTCAATCGACCGAAAAGTTTATTTGGCGGTGTGTATAAATTCGCCTTGATACCAGCCTTCTCAATTGGGCCGCGATATTGCAACGGCAATGTCCTACAGATATCCTTGTCCCAGAGGTAAACGATGTCCTCACCGGTCTTGTCCCGGGGCGGAAAAAAGGATCCTGCAAAGCATATTCTGAATTCACTCGTGACAAAACGTCCTAACGCAACTGTGTTTTATTGCCACAAAAGTATAGAACAATTTAATTTAACATTTTTAACACGCCGTTCTACCTTACGCTTGTATAGAAACGAAAACGGTTTACCTTCCGAAGCTGTAATGGAATTGCACGGTGCGTTCGGCCAATATGGTAAATGATCGAGCCCGTTCAGTCGATTTATCAAACCAAACTCTTTCATGTTCGTGTGCCCGGTAAATATCGTAGATATCTCGCTTAATGTACCGTTTCTCTGCAATCGGGATTTTGATTATAAATTGTTAGACGTAGAGTATCGTTTTGGTACACACGAAATATTTCATAACGCAGTTACTTTGCCTAAAGCAGCTATGGGAGGCAAAGAAGTGAATAATTCTTGTGTAGCACTTACTCCGAGAAGAAGGCCTATTCTACTCATTGGTCGTCTTGTTTTCGGAAGAAATCGATGAGCAAGACTAACTAATGGGTCGTCATACCCGAAGACTAATTCCTGCACAGTTACGGGAACGAAGGGTTTCATGTGCATTCCGCTCAGAAACATTGACAATCCCATTGTGATGAGACGAGGGAGACTCTTGCTTTGCGTCGAAAGTGTCTACAAAGAAGAGAATTATTCGTTTACTTGGTATACGTTCAAATCTTAATGAATACTCCAGTCAATACTTTAGTTTTTGATTGATAAGAGCGTATTAATTTTATTTCTACGTTGTCAACTCACCAGCAAAGGTATATTCGGCACTGTTACTTTGATATCTGCATCTTTAGACATTTCCGGCACGAAGTTCAAAATTTTCTTATGTTGATAACTGACAGTTCCGTTATTATGGAACGCAATGTTAACTTTTTCCATATCCTCTCTGCAAAGAGTATTGATTATTGTTGTTTAACAAAGATTCGTCTATGAATATACAAACCGGATTGTGCAGGCAGCTTGCAGACTTATATTAGAATGTAAATGGACGATTTTAGAAAAATTGAACTAAAACACGGATAAAGACTGAACGAAAATTAAAGTAACGATAAAGGTACCCGCTCGAAGAAAAATAGTTATATCCGAATGCGATTTTCAGGACCGTACTTTTCGATCACCTTGGCACTAAATAAATAAAAGGACTTACCGATAGACGAACGGACCAATTTCTTGGAGTTTCGGCTTCTCGTTATATTGCAGAAAACCCTCCGTGTTGGTTACGTTAAATATATAGAGTTTGGTCAATCGAATTACGCCTGGCTTCTGCCAATATTGAAAGGAGAGCGAACCGTTCCATAGTCGCAGTTGCTAAAAAAAGCAGCGGTGAATTGCCGATATTACCGGCATGTACACGGTTTCTTTCACATTAAAACTGCAATTTGCGCACGTGCACGGCTTGCGTTACCTTTGCAGTAATATATCATAATACTTTTGTGCAAAAGAGTCGTCAATCAATTCGGAGAGAAATGTGGGGAGTTTTTATAATCTTGGAAAATTGGATTATTAACGATCGATGTTATTTATCGCATTAAGATCGTTTCGTGGAGCACCTGGCGTTCTTACGTGAATAAATTCTTGCACTTCGAATCTCTATCTCATACACTGGCGATTCATATAATTTCCGGAGAAATTAAAAATAGAAGAATGAAGCAACTTAATAAGAGCTCAACTGTTTTCTTAATCGGTGATGTGGGAAATCACTTTCAAGATACTTTTTGTTAAGGTTTTTTATTCTGATTTTTTTTCATTCAGAAGGAAATATGCGGAAAGAGAAAGTTTAAGGACGGAAATAAATTTCCATTTATGTTGCAAAACTTGCAGTAATTAAGCAACAAAACATGAATTAATCTAATCGCTTTTCCGGAGATTAGAGATTAATCGCCGTAGATAGTTGAAACGTTAGACCTTGTGAAATAATGTTAGAAGAAACCGTGTAGACTACGCATTAATTTCTGCTAACAATTTTTAATTATGCCATTTGTCTCCAATAATTTATTAATTGTGATAATTTATAACAATAATAAGTTGGTTTTAATATATTCAAACTTATGACTTATTTATATAAATAATCTCTGAATTAAAGTTGCGCAAATAGCACTATATTCAAACACAAAATTCTAATAATATATTTCATTCATTATCGTTGCACTGACAATTATTCTCACTTGTAGACATAAAATAAACGTACACGACATAATACATGCGTGCGTAATATCGCCTCAGACAATGAAAGACATTCGCGAAGATATTTACTGCGAATGCAAATGCACTTCGCACAAACGCATGCCGTAAAATATTCGTTGCGCGAGATTTACTTTGTCTAAATACGCTTGCTTTATCTAAATGTAATCTCATATTATTAGTTTCGAAAGTAAACCAGAAAGTAAAATAGAATACGTCGAAACAACATCTTTACGATTAAATTGATATACAAACGCCAGTAAAAGTGTATTTCAAAAATTCAATATTAAGTTAAGTTTTGTATCTCTTCCTTTTTTCTTCTCTTTTGTTTCTTTCTCTTTTTTTGAGATAATGAATATAATCGTTGCAATTTATAAAATATTGCGACAACATAAATACGAGATCATTACATACTTATAGAAGGTATAATTTTTTAATTTTCTTTATATTGATAAATAAAGAAAAATGCAATTCTTTTACACGTCGCGATGATTGTATTTATCGGATAGTTTTACGAACGTACGTACTCAAAGTTTCATACTTACTTTCAAGATGAGGTAATCGACCCACGGTATGCTACTGAGCACTATGCCGATCACAAGTGCAAGAAGACCTAGACAGATCGCTGCTATCCTGCCTGCAAAAAAAAAGTGATAGTAGCGTTAACGGTGCAGGTGTCAAAACGCACCGATGTTAAATATACGCACGTTCAATGCATGTTTGCGCAAACGATTTTTTTTATGGATGTCGACACTATAGGTGCCCAGTATTTCTCATAGAACAAGCATTGACCTACATTGAAAATTAGTGCCGAGTATCAAGTATTGCCGACATTGTGTCCGAGTAAAACCTATACGTATGTTTTGTAATTACTGGTTTAATGCTTTTCACAAAAACGTATGTTGCTTTAAATTTAAATTTCAAAGAATTATCAAAATAAAAGCGAGTTCTTTAACATACTATTACTTGTTCTTTTATACTGTAAAGGCGACTAATTTTTTAACAAAAGTTGACACTATTAAAAAATTTGCTTATTTAAAATAATTTTATAAGATAAGCAAAAATTATTTTACTAGTTTCTAACATTTCGATTATGTGCCCATGCATGAGAAAACTATATTAACAGAAACACGGCGAAATGGAAACGTTTAGTTTGTACACGGAGAGAATTTTCTTTTAAAATTTATCCTGAAAATTATATAATCGTGAGACGACGTAGCATTTCAAAGAATTTTAGAAGAATTTTGGAAATTTTACCATACATTTTACCAGTAAGATGTATACTAATTGTAAGTATAATTACTAGTGAAATATACGATAAAGTTTCAAAAAACTCTCATAAAAGTCTTCAAAATGCCATGTTGTCCCACGATCACATGATTTTCCGGATAAATTTTAAGAGAAAATTCTCTCCGTGTAGAGTAGCGTAAATAATTTGAAGAATATATTGTGAAACACATTTTTTTTAGTATCATGTAAAAATACTTTTGATTAATTATCTGTGACCATTGCATAAAGTAAATAGATTTATGTACCTATATGCAAGTAATTGGATGTACATATATGTATATAAATCTATATATTAATCAAAGAATTAATGATAGCTTGGTCACATAATTAATTATAAATTACATTTGCATATTGCATTATACATACGTACGTACGTACGCACGCACGCATGTACGTACGCACGTGTGCGCGCACACGCGCAATAATTCCTTGATTTATACGATACGTTTTAAATACGGTCTTAGTTTTACGCGCTCTCATTTTGCGCGGAAAAATACCAGTCTATAATATTTATTGAAATTCTATATCATATCTGTAAGACAACAGTTCACATTACATCAGTCTGACCTCTTTTGGTTGAATTGTGGAAAGGACGCAAGTGTGACGATAAATTTACCTTTTTGCCTTTATTATTATTGTTTTTATGTGAACAAATATTTTTACAACACGCACGCGCTTTCCTCTTATGTAGTTTTCTTTTTATACTGGCAGACTTCATTTACGCAACTTTTAACTGCGTAAAAAATAACCCACGTGGAACGAATACTTCGCGTAAGTTGAGGGACGAGTGTATCTGTATATGAGTGTATATATAAGAATATATAATTAGGAGAACATTGCTATTCTTATGCTACAATACTTCTTAGGACGTCGCTTAATAAATAAATAATTATTAACACGACTTATATTGATCTCGCGAAGTGCGTATTATTAATAAACGACGTCAGCTTTACTTCTTGCGAAGCATTACTTCTACTTAATATGCTTAATATTATTTAAAAAATCACGTTAGTAGTTCAGTCTTTTTTGTTTAAAGTCAACGTTTAAACACGTGTTTCATTTGCTGCAACGATAAGTCTTATTGTTGCTAACTTTAGATTGAATGTGTTCACAGCTATCTCGCACATATAAATTTAAATCAGTATGCAAAACTAGTTAACTGACATTGGCCGATTGACATTTGCATATTTTATGCATTAGCAAACACACTATTAATATCGATGCGATATAAAATTTTCGAATTGATATATTTGTCAGATCAAATGTATCGTCTATCTATATACGATAACTCGAGCGGTTCATTATATAATTCTTACGAGATTCAGCATCATTGGGAATTTTTCATTGCGTATAAGTCGGTCAGCATGCTTTCACTCCCGAATTAAATGTAGGACGCTAATGATGCAATTTTGAAATTGCCATCTAAAGCATCGACGCAACTCATCATGCCGTGCATTAAGGTGCGATATTACAGAAAATGTCCCGATATTAAACGCAAATATCATTTACGGCAGAAAAAAAATGATGGAAATACTTATACATTGTTCTTTCCCAATCAACCTGCGCCGGTAAATACCTTTTGTATTTACATATCTTTGTCTCTCCTTCTTTCTCCTTCTTCTCCTCTCTTCTTTTTCGTTTTTCTCTTGCTGCAAATGAAAATGAAACCAACGAAAAAGAACGGACCTTCAACGATCTTGCCTCTTACTTTTGATTTTATTAATGAATACGCGCCTGCAAGAAGTTTGTTGGTCAAGAAATTTACCCTGTGGCATTCAACGATTCTCAACGACCTTGAGTTACTCAATATCCGAACAGAAGTGTTATTTACAAGTATCGATTGCGAATGATTTATCTTCTGAAGGACTACTTTATTAACGGAAATATTTTATGAAATTAAAAGGCTAGAATCTAGATCAAGGCCATTTATAATAAGCACTTCTTTCAATCTTCAGTCAGCAGTTTATACTTCCAAAACATTTTATGACGTTAAGCTCGTCTTTATTCCTCCTTTTGAACATCAGTTTGTCGCCTTCGGTTAGTCGGGACTTTATTATTTGGCGCAAATATTTCCTTTGCAATGGCTCACTCGCACATAATTCTCAAAATCCATGTATTCACGCGCAATGGATGCATGTAACATAATTTAATTGATTCAACGCTCCCCATCAATTTGCAAATCTAGTTTCTCTTAATTTATGTTCGCATTGAAAGTCCAATTAAATACATAGCAACCTAAGTATCTCTCCACTTCCATCCCTGTTATTTCCTGCAGCGGAAAACATTCGCTGCTCAAATGTACACGCACAGCATAATATCCGCATTCTCTCGCACGATTTCACACCAATTAGTTCGATACGGTATTGATGAATATTGCTCGACGACGATCATAATTTCTCCACGATTACAGTTTCTATTTCACATAACTATTGCAACCGTTTCTCTTTGCGCGCAACAGTTTAACGAACGGCACGGGGCCCGTAACTCAATACAAATTAAGATTTATTTACGCTATGCAATCTTAGTTAAGAAAGCAAAAGGCTCTTTAGCGCGCAATAACAATAAATATTTAATTTGTATCATAAAAATAATTGTATTAAGCGTGGATTTTCGTGGACTAATCAACTTTATCTCAAGATACGCAAGTTGCTACCTCAGCAATTTTGTAAGAGTAAACGGCTATTGAGCCGTTACTCTTTTTATCAAATTATCAATTTAACCGTAGAACATATCGATTATATAGAAGCCGATTGTACGTGCGCGTGTATTGTGAGATAGCGTCTTAGGATCGCGTAGTGTAAATAAATCTTAGCGCGGAGGCAATGAGCACCGCGATTGGAAGGGTCAACATCGCAAACGCAACGTTTGTTCGGCAATTTATAGTTCGCATACCAAGGAGAGAGTGCAAAATAACTCGCGCTGCTCACACAAAGCTACGGTACGTGGTATTTGTTAACCATGAGTGGTATAAATTACCTCGGAATGTTGCGCAACACCTGCGATCTCTCCTTTCTCAGACGCCGGCTACTGACCAGACGTGTACGGGCCCGAAGTTCGATTTCTTAATCTGACCTCGAGAAGATGCCGTGCTTCAAAAGCGCAGATCGATCCCGCTTCGATCGCGAGCCCGCGTTTCTTCGATGTTCTTTATCGAAACGACCGGTAATTCGGGTGACGCCCTACTTATTGACCAATCACGCAATCGCATCTGCTTATCGGTATAGTTTTAATAACATTCTTGTACCTTGTACACAAATTTTCTTAATACAAAAACTGAGCAATTTTTCCACGATGCTAGAGAGTAGTTACTACACTGAGAAAAAATTTTTTTAACCTAAGTAAATAGATTTACTTAAATTAATTTTTTTACCGAATCAAATATTTATTCTATTTAAATAAAAATATCAAATTTCTGTGAAAATTGCATCTTAGTAAACATCTTGTAGAATTAAAATACATTTTTTAAATTTAAAATTATCTACTCTTTGATTTTTAATAAATATTTAAATTAAAGTAATGCATGTTTTTATTTCTTTATTATTTCTTAAATTTATGTTAATAAGCTATTAGGAGCCACCTGATAAATAATTTTCTCGAGTAAAGTAATATTTCTTTGGATTAAGATGTTTTTTTTGTCAGTGTAGAAATTATTGCACTTTATTTCATTTTATTGCAAGATAAAAAATAGATTATCAATTGTCAACTGCGATTGCGGTGAAGACACTGTTACGTGAGATTAATTTGCAATTTCTCAAGAACGTAAAATCATGCGGTGTGAACGTAGTTGACCACCTTTAATCACGGTAGTACGATAAAAGCCATTGAATATCACTTATCGCGCTCTAACTACCGGTAATTGTATAAGTGATGCTTAACGGCTCATTGTTTCCCTCTTTACTGAGTAAGGAGCCGTTCAGTTATACACTTGTTACATAACTCGCGGTTAGCTAGCATCGTAATCCCCGTGGACTCTCGGCTTTACTGCAAGCTATTACTTTGCATGGCAGTTCCGCGCGCCGGAAATAATAACTTGTTGCTGTAGCGTCTACACTACGAATGTCTAGAAGAATAATAAAGATAAACTTTCGGGACTCTATGAAGAATTGAGAACCCGGCGATTTGAGTATCGGAAAATAAATCTTGGTCACGTTTAAAGATCATCAGGTTTATCGAAATACGTGCGTCTCAGAGCCCACTGAAACCGGAGGAAGTTGAGAGTCCGAAGCATCTATCTGCGTTTCTTAAAGTTTTACTTTTATTCATCTCTTCGTTTTCTCAGCAAAGGAAGTCGGCATCTTCTCCTTCAATGATCCGAAGCATCCGGTGCAGGGAACGATGAAAAGATAC